TTTAATTTTTCTAAAGTCACACATTTTTTGCGCTGCAGTTTATGGCGCATTTTGTGATCGTTATGCTTGAAGATTCCTAAATGCTCAGTATCATTATCAAACCATAAACTTTCTAGTGCTAGATTTCAGAGAAAGAAGAAAAAGGAAGGTAGATGATATTAGAACAAACATGCCTCAAATTTTAGAACAAAGAGAATAAAGGTTTAACAAAAGGAAAAGAAAATTATATTCCTACCTGTAAGGGACCAAAGTCAAATCAACCTCATGATGAAATGAAGACATAACGAAACAATGTAGTGATAAACGCCAGAAGCTTCCATCACCTCTCAGGTGTGGGATTTTCCAGGTCGTGCCGTTCACACTAAGCACAGGCCTCATTCACAATTCTGTGCCCGCCCAGTGCTGCCCACACCGGGAGTGAAAACGTTGGTTTAGGGAGCAGAGAGAGATGCTGTGAAACTGGAATCACAGCATGAAAACCTCCTCACACACGTGCGTTCACACAGGCTACCTCTCCACCTAGAACACCTGCCCCTTCTCGGAGTCGCACCTTGCATCTGAGCTTTGCTTGCCAATCTCCATCCCCAAACGTCCATCACCCCCTCTCCCCCACGGCATCCTCCTACACGCGTGATTCACTCCTACAAACTTGTTATCATGAAATGAGCGCACAGCCTCATGTGTTTGTCCATTCCAGCTCAATGAAGTGCATCTTGGGGCAGAATCACACCTATCACCTTTATATGCTTAATGATCATCAATTACTTATTCATTCAACAAACACTTAATATTGAAATCCATTCCTTAGAGAAAAAAAATCCAAAATAAATAAGCTGATCATTCAACTCAAGAAGCTACAAAAAATAACAAGAGTCAATTCAGAAAAAAAAAAAGAAAAACCTTGACACCGAAAGCTAGACGAGGACAACATGCAAAAGAAATATTATAGGCTAATCTCACTTAAGAACAGACATGCAGAATTCCCTAATAACATTTAGCAAAACTCATTTAGAAAATAGCACTGTTTTAGAAGTAAGGCTCATTCGGCATGTAAGGGTAGGGTTAGGATGTGGGACTCGGCGCCAAGAGCGGGGTCAGCCGTGGGTGCTGGCCAGGGCGGGGCCATGGTGGCTCGGAGGGGTGAGGAAGCCAAAGCCAAGCGTGTGAGGGATTAAAATGGCAATTATGAAATATGAGCTGCAAGGGGAGCGCCAGCCATAGCTGGGTGCTAGATGCTAGGAAGGAACGGCCAGCACAGCAAGGTGCTCAGGGCCACAGCGTGGCAGTGGGAGGGACTTGAGCCAGTGAGCCGGGCGGACAGGAAGCGGCAGGAGCCAGCATTCGACAGCTGCGCTGAACAAATCTCAACATCCTTAGAACCACTAAAATGCGTTCTTTATAAGGTGGTCAGGGGCATGTAAGGCCCACACAGATGCATCAGAAGGACGGGGAGGCCCCGTGGGACGTGGCTTCTGCCTGCCTTGCCAGCCCTGCGTCCTGCTACCTCCTCGCCACCCTTCCTCGTGCTTTATGCTGCGACATCAGACTGTGTGTCAATCAACACACATGTACATGCACATGCACACAGGCATACAAGCACACACACAGACACGCACGCACACAGACATGCACGCACACGCACACAGCCATACATGCACACGTGCACTGAGCTGCTTCCCACCTCACTGCCTGACTCCAGCTGTAACGCCTACCCGGAATGTCCTCCTCTCGCCCCACCCCGCCTGGCTCAGTTTCCCTCCACCTGTCCCCTGAGACCTGGTGTATGTTTCTGTCTTTGCACCTGCTGTGTTGCTGCAAACACCTCCCCGAGCCTCCCAGTCCTGCACGCTGCGCTCCCAACACAAACCACCCTTCTGCCCACTCGTGCCCAGGAGCCAGCGCGTCTGACTTTTCCTAATAAGCTGGCACTAGCTCTGTGCCCAGGGAGCTGCGTCACACCTCGGGGCCTCATGTGGGCTGTCCCCTCGCTAATGCCAGGAGATGCCAGAGTCGGGACAGCTATCATCGCTTCTTTCAAAAAATTACTTACCGTTTTCTTTCTCGGTGGGTATTTTTCAATATCCGCGTACCTTCTGAAAGACAAAAGACAGTCACCTTGAAATGTTTAAAACTCAGCCCTGACATGTCTTTATGAAAATGTCAGATGCAGCCTTGGCTTTCGGAGGGGAATCGCCGGCCGTCCACACAGAGCACGGCCGACAGCACCGGTTTCCCAGCCTCCCGAGCAGAACGGGCCCCCGGGCACCTGCCCACTTCCCTCCCTGAGATCTTTGACAATCGGGTGGATTCTCGAGTACTAGGGTGCGGCGTGCTCTGCGCTGCTCATGCCATGGGGGAGACCCTAACACACACACAAACATGGTTTCCTCCCGTGGCTCTCACAGTAACTGAGCAAAGCAAGAATTACCATTCTCATCGCACCGGCAAGGACACCGAGGCCCAGAGAGACGGGGGTTTCGCCCAGTGTCCTGAAGCTGATCAGGGGCAGAACCGAGATTTCGATCCAAAATCCAAAATGCAAAATGCACTCCCTTCCTGCCACACCCCAGGGCTCCTGCCTGACTGCCACCGTCACAAACACACGCAGCCCAGTTCTAATTTCCTCTTTCTTGCTGCTCGCTCCAATAGCTGCTACACAAATTTGGAAACGCTTCCACGGGAAGATTCTCTGCAAAAGAGCCCCTTTTGGGTCCACTTTGCGTTGCCAAATGCACTGCAGCCTCCCTGCAATTGTGTGCAGCCTCCTGCTGACCCCGAGCCTCAACCTCCTGGGGGGTGGGAGGTATTTAAGTAGCTGACAGATTCAGTTCAGGGCTCAATGATGAACGGAAGGCGGGAAACAGCAAAACACATAGGAAGGCGCAGAACACACGGTGGAAGCAGGTAGAGCGAGCGATTCAACTGGACCGGCCCCTGCGGTAATTCCAGCGGCTGTGCTACTTGGGCTGTGGCCAAGGCGTCACGTCGGTACAAGCAGGAAACAGCCACGCTAGCAGGCAGCACTCTGACCGGACCGTCTGCCTGGACACCAAACTGCTGCAGGGCCAGCCTCAGCCCACAGGACAAAGGGAGCCTTTCTCTGCCTTAAAGTACAAACCCTAACAGCGCGGGAGCCAGGACAGAGGAGTCAGCCTCAGACACCGCACCCGCTGGGGCGGTTCAGGCTCTCCAAATGCATGAGGGGCTCGAGCAACAGAACGTAGGGGTAGGGAGTGAAACCCGACCACCTGCACGGTACTCTCTGAAAATAAGCTGCACACTTAAAACTGTCTGTCCTTTTCCACAAAGAGATGAAAAATGACACCTCTTTTTCTTTGCTCAAGATAGTGACCATTAAAAGACTTAACAAAGAAATAGCTATGGGGAAGGTTCCTCGTAAGCCCTCGAATCGTGTCCCGCACGGAATGCATCTCGATCACACCTGTCAGGGCTGAGCCATCGAGGAAGAACCCGCAGGTCGGCTTCAGAGCTGTGCACCCCGTCCCGCCACGTCTGCATCTTCCTGTGTCCATAAACACACAC